CAATCAATCAATCAACCTTTATTTATACAGGTAAATCCCATTGAGCCTCGAGGACTCATTTACAAGAGAGACCTGATTTCAACAAAGAAAGATGACAACAATGGACAACAGCAACAACAATAAACAGTTATAAAAAAAGCATACTACAGTTTTTTTTTGTTTGTTTGTTTTTTTTAACAAATAGGATGGCTAAAAGGAAAAGGTAACAAAAAACCCCAAAAAAAACCCAGCTAGATTCCAAGACAAATGTAGAAAACTAAAAACAGGAACATGTCAGCATTGGACCCTGCCAGGTGTCCAACAGATTCTTAAAGCCACTTAGAGAGGTCAAGGTCGAGAGCTTCAAATCTTTTTGTAAGATGTTCCAAGAAACAGGAGTGGAATAGGAGAAGGCCCTTTTGCCTAGTTCAGTCCTCACTGAGGGAACACTGCAGGTAATAATGTCCTGAGAGCGCACTCCGTAGCTGCACTCACACAGAGACATGAGTCCAGAGTCCAGAGTCCAGCTATCACTGTGCAAGTCGCAGGAGACACCCTGGACAGATCACAAGTTCATCATAGGGCCACATAGACAAACAAGACAAACAATCATTCACACACTCACTCACACCTAGGGACAATTTTAGAGTTACCAATTAGCCTAACATGCATGTTTTTGGTTTGTGGGAGGAATAGACAACCCACGCATGCATGGAGAGAAAATACAAACTCCACGCAGAAAGGCCTATGGAACAGGATTTGAACCAGGGTAACCTTCTTGCTGAGAAGCAGCAGCTCTACCAGTTGTGCCACGGTGCTGTATATGTGTGTATATATATGTATATATATATATATATATATATATATATGAATATATATATGTATATGTGTATATATATATATATATATTTATATATGTATATGTATATATATATGTATATATATATATATATGTATATGTATATATATATATATGTACATATATACATATATATGTGTAAATATATATCAGAGTCAGTCAGAGTCAGAGTGAGAGTTTCTTTATTGTCATTCGCACCTCATGTGGTACATGTGGTGGAGCGAAATTATGTACACGGGTTCCCAGTTACATCCAACAATAAAATGTATAAGAAAAACAGTAATAACATCTAAGATATGAACTAAGAAAAACATCAACTAAATATACACTAAGCACTCATAACATAAAACATTGAACATCAGCACAAACATGAACATGAGTCTGTGAGCAAATGTGCACGCATGAACACATCAACATTGAAACAGATCAGCAGCAACATGAAACAGATCAGCAGCAACATGAT